TCTTTGATTGCGTTTTGAATCAAGTCCCTGAAAAGAAAACATTGTGAGGTCTTGTGGCCTAGGAAACTATGATATTTGCAAAATCCCCTTTTCTTCCTTTGGTCCAAAGGGGGTATTTTGACATTTGATGGCACAATTAGTTGGCCATCTTTGACAAGCAAGTCAAAGATTTCGTCACATTTAGTGACATCGAAGGTGTAAACCTTCTTTGGAAACTTATCACTTTTCTCATTTTCAACAATATCTTTCCCTTTCGTAGGAACTAACATTTTGCAGGAGTAAGGCGGGGCCTGTTTTAATTCAGCGAGGTCGATTTCGACCTCTTCGAATTCGAATTCAGGATATTCTTCTACCTCCTCAGTTCCAACATAGGAAATTCTTTCTTTCTTACTATTCTTAAAGACTCGGGCTTTTTCGGCTTTTAGTCTTTCGACCTGTCGAACTCTATCGGCTAACTGAGCCATATCCCTCAAATGCTGAGTATCTAATTTCTTTCGAATAGAGTAATCCAATCCCCCAGCGGCCATTTCGACTAACTCATGCTCAGGGACTACTGTGTAACATCTAGATTTTAACAGCCTAAATCTATTCAAATAGTCATCAATGGGTTCAGTGAACTTTCTCTTAACACTGGCCAATTCCTTCAGACTTATTTTCGATTGTCCCATGTAAAATTGTTCATGGAATAATCTCTCTAAAAGGGTCCAAGTATCAACAGACCCAGGAGGCAACGTGGTAAACCAAGTGAAAGCATTTTTTGTCAAGGAACTTGGGAAATATTTGATTCTAAGATCTTCATTATTGGCTATATCCCCCGCTTCGGTTAAATATCGCGCTATGTGTTCGACTGTTGACTCGTTGGTATCCCCAGCGAACTTTGTAAATTTAGGGACTTTGTATCCCCTTGGTAAATCAGTATGCATTATACAATCTAATATAGGAGAAGCGTAATTTGGCCTCCTCATTCCCATATTGAGGCCGTTTTGGGTCATGATCCTCTCTATCATGGTGGTCAGATTATTTTCTGCCAAGATGTTATCGTTTCGAACCCTATGAACGACAGCATCGGCATCTTGGTTTCGACCAACCAAAACAACTCCCCTAGGTTGTTCTCCTCGAAATTCTGGGGCTTCTGGTCTTTCGATCCTTGCCCCTGGTTCCATAACTTCCCTTTGTGGGCCCGGAATTATTGGGGCTTCTAACCTTGGTGCTCTGGCCCCTAAGTTAACCTCTTCTCTGGGTGGTCTATGAATTGGGTCGTTGGCAATTTGTTCTATAACAGGCACGTTTGTTCGAAATCCCGCCTGGTTTTGCCTACGCCTTTCTGTGGGAGCAAAGAAATCTGCTATTCGACTCATATTGTCAGCGTTTTCCCTGTTCGTCACGGTCACATTCTGAACTATTGGGGCGAATATTTCCTGCATGGTTTGCGCTAACACCCCTATCATATTGTGGTTGCTTTCATCCATCAATTGCCTAAAAGCCAACTGGTTATCTGTGGTTAGGGTAGGCAACGTGCTATAACCCACTGACCCTTGGTTATTTGACATAAATTGGTTTGCCCCAGACCCAGATCCTAGTTGTGGGGATGAATTCGATGTGGAATTGTGCAAACCTGCCATAAAAGATGTTGGCATTCCGTAAGAAGAACTTCTAATTCTATTCCCATCGAAGCCGGGTGGTCTAGTTGATGGAGTGGCGAAATGGGATTGTGCCCCAGGTGGCGGAACGAATCCCCCAGGGTAGCCCATAGTTCCAGTATTTCCTAAGATCGAACTGTTGGTTGATACGCCACTTACTCCGTTGGTGGCCATGTTACTGGTTGAAGATGCAACAGCCTGTGCATTCGAAGGGATTACATTAGATGCTCCGCTCGAAATGGACGCGTTAGTGCCTGTTGCCTGTGGGCCACCTTGGTCTCCTTGTTGATTGTCTGAATTAGACATTTTGTCCAAACGTTTTCTTCTGGATAAAGGTTGGTTGCTGTTGGTTATCTTACCACTTCTCAGGTTCATAAAACAGCAAACTTCTTATGTTCCTACGTTTCTGGGATGGCTATGTCTTGACAATCCTTAATTCTGATATCCAACTATTGGTCCCACCAGGTGTGCCAATTTGTTTCCAGTGATTTCTGGTAAACAACCGCTAGTCTTCCAAACTATCGAATAATCTTTATTAACGCTACTCAATCTCTTTGGTAACTCACAGGATCGACTAGATTGATCCTAGGACTCCTTGGATATCAAGGTTACTCTCACAATTGAACAATTATTCATGGGTGCTATTGTACAAATGTTTGGTTTATTTCGATCCCTCTCTCTAAGAGTTTAAAATATGGTCAAAATGTATGTGAAAACTAAGTTATACGAATGATTGCTAATTGTAATGCTGATTGAAAAGACATATAAAACTGTATGGAAAATGAAGTAACTGGTTTCGATCCATAAAACATTTAACACAAAAGGTTTCTGGAATGTGGAAGTTTAAAATGTGAAGAAAGCGTTTAATGCAAGAAATCTAGAAATGAGTTTAAGTGAAAGTACATGTTTGAAGAATAATACTTGAAAGTAAAGACATCGAAAGCGTAAAAGTTCTCTGAAATATAAAGTGCTTCGAAATATAAAGAATGCAGTAAAATGTAAAACTTTGAAGAAAAGACTTTGAAATGAAAAGACAGTAGATAAAGAAACTTGTAAATGTTGTTCGACAGAAAGAAAAAGAAGAAAAATGCTGGAAATAGTAAAAGGGCTTTTATTAAATTAAAAATACATGGTGCTATCATACATACATCTCTCTTGCATTCGTTTCCCTTTCCATGTGGTAGTTTGAATGTTATTGAGTATTTTGTATAACAGATATGACACACTGAAATCCTAACACTAAGACTTCTATTTATACTAATTCGACCCTAACGGTCTCGCTACAAGATCATGCCACGTTTCGAACATGCAAGACAATGCTCCTTTCATCTTTCCACGTGTCCCCAAATGCTCCAACACATAACTTTCAAACTTTGAAAGTCCCGCCTTCATTTAAATTTCAAATGCTTTGGTGTTTCTCTGCTTCGAACGCTCTTCTCAGACCTAGCTTCGCTGCTGTTTCGAGACCCCTTTGGATACGCTCCCAAGACCACCGTTCGAAGCTTCGAGCTTTGACACACTCATTCGAAACACTGCTTCTGCAATTTCGAAGCGTGGTGTTTTAATTCCATTTCGATCAGAACTTCTAGCTCTTTTTGAATTCCAAATAACACTATCAAAATCTTCAGCCAACACCTCCACACCAACATTATCACACTCCACAACAAAATTCACTTCCTCAACTTCCTTGAACTTATCTTCCCAATTGGCTACTTCTTAATACATTTTAGATAGTAAATCTTCCTCCTGATCTACAATGTCAACGTATTCTACTTTTGCTTCTATAGGACCATCGTAGTAATTAAGCTGAGATAATATGTGTTGAATATAAATGTAAACACTTAGATGAACCTTGTAAAGATCATCTTTTCTAATGCAACTTTATTATCAATCAAAGCATTCATCCTAAAAGAGGGGTCATTGTAATAAATTCTCTCAAAACCCCCTATAACCTAACTCCTTCAGTACACCTACCAACTCAAAATAACTCCACGTGTCAACATCTATGTTCAAATCATCAACCTTTTCTCCTTCATACGCACTAAGTTCACCATCAACGAATTCACCACTATGATGAATTCTTGGTTTTAGAAACTCGTCCATTACACCTACTTATAAAAAATTTCAAATTACTAAACAAACTGACAAAACTCTTAAACAAAACAAACTTGAAAAAACCATAATTTTCTACAACTATCATAACGAAAACATGAAATACCCTAATTTTCTACAAGTATCAGAACAAAAACATAAAAACCTTAATTTTCTACAACTATCAGAACGAAAACATGAAAAATCCAAATTTTTCTACCACTATCAGAACAAATACATGAAAAACCCTAATTTTCAACCACTCTCAGAATAATTAAATGCCAAAAATATCTAACATGTACTCAAAGGCGCTTTCAAACCTTCAACTTGTCTTCGATTTCACCTTCAAATACACATGCAAAACGATAAACTTCCCTCTAACACCACTAGCGCAGTGTAGAAGTTCTGAAACCCAACCTTTTCACTTTCTGAATTTAACTTTTCATTTTTTAATATTATATACTTGTTATATCCACATCAATCTTCATTTAAGCCACATGAATAAGAGATAATAAACCTCACTAACATAATCAAACAGAAAGACAGACATATCACCAATTTAATAAATAAAAAATTTATTTAAATATTTTAAAAATTAAAAGATCAAAATAAATATTTTAAATATATATATATATATATATATATATATATATATATATATATATATATATATATATATATATATATATATATATATATATATATATATATATATATATATATATATATATATATATATATATATATATATATATATATATATATATATACTATATATATATATATATATATATATATATATATATATATATAGGGGCCATATCTCATGAGAAAGTCTTTCTTATGTGAGAGTGAGAGGGTTTCTTTTTAGCCTTTAGATTACATTGGATGGTTGAGATTCATTGATGAAGTTATTTTTTTTCTTCTAAATCTTACTTCTCTCTCCTCATTTATTACGTTAACTTTTTTTTACTCTTTCTTCTCTCTCCTAATCTTAGTCATAAATTTTGATCCAATGGCTTATAATTACTCCTCTCACTCTCATATAAGGGACCCCTTTCTCACTTGATATGTCCCATATATATATATATATATATATATATATATATATATATATATATATATATATATATATTTATATATATATATATATATATATATATATATATATATATATATCGGCAATAGACTGTTTCTGTTATTCGTCTTTCCTCTCTCACTACCTCTCTCTTCAACCCACCAAGGGTTTTACACTTTTACCTTAAACCCATGGCTTTGACGATGAGAGCGGCGGCGGCGGCTCCCCGGGGTTTGCGCCGCTTTTTCTGTTCGAACCCTATCCCTTCTTCTCCCACTTTCCCTTTCGCTTCAAATCCATCTTCCGGAGCTACATCCGCTCGACAGATGGCGGATCCCAACACCAACCTCTTCGTCTCTGGTCCGTCTTCCCTTATTTTTCTCTTCACTATATCATTGCTTGTTGCTATTTATTATTATTGTTGTTTTTAGTCGGTGGCTAGCTAGTATTCTGAACTGTGAATTGAATTCGTAGGTTTTGATATTGTTGTTCGAATTTCATGTTTTGATTAGGTCGAAGTTTAATTTGACGTGGGTGTTCTTGTTTTAATTAGATTGTTTTTGTTATGTATATGAATCTGAATTTTCGATCTGTTGGATATCTTCTCTCATTGTACTGCTAGGTTTAATAGCTTAAGCCATTTCTCTTTATAAATCTATTATTTTTTTTTAACCCTTTGAGCTAAGTGATTTATGTGTATGTGTATGTGTATTCAATTCAAAAGTAGGCTCCTTAATCTTACTATTTGTGAGTGTAACTGATTAACATTGCGAGATGTACACACACCTGCAAAAGTAATTTTTATACTGTAATTACTGCTCTTCCCGAATAAACGATTTCACTGTTGAAGGACTTTTGATTTGTGAATAAGGATGCTTTTGAAATGATTAACTAGAACATACACTACAAGAGTTAGAACTGGAAACTCTTTTATTTCTATTGCAACAGAGTGGGACTTTAATCCTTTTAAGTTCTTAACTCTATATAAACAAATGGCCTATAAAGTTAAGATTTGACATATTTCTTAATGGAATGTGAATCACTCAAAATATTAGACTGGGTTGTGTATTTTTTTGTTGCAGTGTTGACTCACTAGTCAAACAGCTAGAGGAAGAGGGAGATCTAGAAAGACTATAAGAGAAGTTATTAAAAACAGATCTTGAGATTAACAATTTAGATAGAAGCGTGGTCCTAGATAGATCATTATGGTGGAAGTTGATCCATGTAACCAAACCCATTTAGTAGGATAAGGCTTGATTGTTGTTGTTGTAGGGGTTGACTCACTAGTTATTTTGATTTTAACCCACACTCACTCTAAACTAATTGGTGTGGTGACACCAAAGAGATTTTACTGTGAAGCACTAAAATAGTTTGGTCTGAAAGTGATGTTTCCTCTATAAAATTGCCATTCATGCAACAATTGTCCTCTCCCTGCCAAAAATAAATAAATTGTATATTGCATTGCCTTTTTTCAATGCAATTTGTCACTTGTAATATTCAGTTGGCTTTGGATTTTTAATGTGTCTTAAGCTATCAGTTGACTTTGCGTTTTTAATGTGTCTTAAGCTTTCAGTTGACTCTGGATTTTTAATGTGTCTTAAACTTTCAGGGCTTAGCAAACGTACAACAACGGAGAGACTGCGAGAAGAATTTCAAAAGTTTGGTGAAGTGGTTCACGGTTTGTTCTTCATCCCTAAGTTCATTTTAACATTTGGTCTTTTCAATGGTTTATTGTTTTGCTATGTAATGATGTCTTGAAAATCTACTCTGAAACCATAATGGTTTTCTTTCTGCCAATTGCAGCAAGGGTGGTAACTGATCGAGTCTCCGGTTACTCTAAGGGGTTTGGTTTTGTTCAATATGCCACTTTAGAAGATGCTGCTAAAGGCATTGAAGGCGATGGATGGCAAGGTAAGATTTATTCAACCATTACAGAAAGACCGAGAAATGTATTTCTGTCAGGACATTGCTGTCTTAGATTTTTGTCTGCATTTGTATTTAAAAAAAAATATGAATTCAATATTATCAAATAAGATAAACTTAATATACCAAAATCACAACATATACACATCATAATAGAAGATTGAGCTCTAATTGCTTGACATTGCCGACAATGCATTTGCTGTTCTTGAAGCACAACTTTGCATGGACCTTCACCATGATTTTGACAACCCCGCCGTTATACCAAACATAAGTTGATGCATTGATTGTTCTCTGCTTTTCTTAGCTAACTTTCTTTTGGAATAATGTTGACTGGTATGTTTTCCCTGTCAATACAGTTTTTGGATGGCTGGGTTATATTTGCAGAGTATGCAAGACCAAGACCCCCACCTGGAGAAGCTGTAAATAATATGACTAAACAGTATGGCCGACCTTATTAATTCATGCTCATCTGAAACATTTTTGTGCTTT